ACGTATATATCCATGAGTTTAGGATTCATTTATCCATACATAAATAGCAATAACAGAGAATAGAAATTCATTCATCGTCACATGCACTGAATATCTATTGAATGTGAATGAGTACTCATCGAAATGAGTGCCAATTAGCGATCAATAATAGATGAAGTTAGCTCATTGAAATGCGCGAATTACTCTTATTAGAGGACAAATGCATTGCAGATTCGAGTCAGAAATGCTTCATATGAGTGCTGGATAAAGCAAACCTCTTTTGGTGGATGATTAGTGTCGGATCCACTCGAACGGCCACTATCTTCATTGGAATGACGCGACGGAGAGCGTCTATCCTAAATTCAACCATCTTAAACGATAATCTAATCAAATGAATTTTTTTCCAACCTAATAGATTTCTAGGCATATACGAATGAAAGCTCAGTGTTCAATTCATAGTTTATGGCAAGAAGAGCACGCAACAATCGCTACAAAATTCTGTAAATTCGAACGAGAATCTTCACAATTACCAACGATCTTCNTGCACCGCTTCCTTTCTTCTTTTCCGGCACAGAAGCATATTGTTTTTTTTTCTCACATAATAAAATTCGGACATAAAATATATTTCCACTACAATAAAGTTATGGAGTGGAATGAAATCGAAACGGATCATCGTTTGACGGTCACAGAAAATGGAATATGGGAACGTTGAACAGTTTGGTTGGAATTGCTGAATCATATCCTTAAGATGTGAAAAGAAATCGCACTGAAGTGGACGGTGGCTGGAAACGAATGCATGCATCTGGTCGACAGTGAAAATGCTTTGATTGATATTCATTTCGAACACAGCATAAATTCATTGTGCTATTCATGGAGTATTCGAGTGACACAGTGAGAAAATACAACTTGAATTATTTTGAGAAACGAATCAGCATTACAAGAAGACACTTGCATCGTGAAACGAAAAATGAATCGGTGCCTACCGTTTTCATTGCTGCAGCATCAGAAGTTTGTGGACTGAACGCTTCATATTTCCTATTCGGTGCGCCTCCACCTGGTGATCCGAACGGAAACCACGATTCGCAAGTGGCTGAAAATAATTTGATTGATGCAGCACTAAATGATCGTCTAAAGCAGCTGATAGAATTGAATAATACTCCCAAAACTAATCACTAGTAGAATCAACAACATTTTTGCAATATCATTTGATAGGAAACTTATATCGATATATATTCTGCTGCAAAATTCATTTTGAAAATACATCATCGCTTTGAATGACTCTCGACATTGCGTGAATCCAACCACTTATGAATAGACTGCAAGCAAACATGAGAGCCTAATGTCACTGAATATGCCAACTCTTCAAAAGATTCAACTGATCACTATAAGACCAATGCAAACGTTCCCCTTTACATTGTATAAATGCTATCCACCTGCTGTATCCGCTCCCATATTAGTTCAGCTCGTTGCTGTATCAATCAATACTTCGCTGATAAGCGATATGTGGAATCCCCAACACTAGATTGTCCATACATATGATGCAGTTTCGAAAACACAAAAATGCAGTTTTCTGTTATACATTGTGAAACTGAATATCAATTCTACCATTTCAAATGGATAGCTATTGGCAATGTAATATACAAAAAAGCATTGCAAATGAATCGTGATGCATTCGTCATTAGTTGGAGTAGTGCAATATTCGAATTTTCAATATTCATAAGAAGATTTATGATATGTATTGATGTGCATACGTAATGATAAAACCGGAGCTCTTTCATGAATCAGTCAGTCTTCATAATGGCGATAAG